CATATTCGATGAAAAATGGTCGAAGATGAATTATTTGTCGAAGTGCGAAATTTTTAATAATTATTATAAATAAAAATAATAATATAGTAAGAAAAGCCACAGCAGCGCCAGTAATAATATTAATTATTGATAATAAATTCTAAAAAAAATTTTAACAACCATCATAATAACCACGATAATAAATAATAATAATAATAAATAATACCAAATATTATGCAAAATGGGACCTAACAGACTGCAAATAAATAAAAAGATTCGTTGATTAGCGACTATAATTAAAGAGAAAATATCGGTTTATTTTTCAAAATAAAATAGCGCATGAAATGGACTTTCATGAACGGCATTAAATTGTCAAAATTGCTCGTCGTGATAACCAATTATATTATAACACAAAAACAGATGGACGGTAAAAGTGGCAAAACAATCCAATTTAATGGTAAATTGAAAATTAGAGTCATTTAGTTGGAGAAAAATCATTGTTGCTGATATCTTAGCAACAGACAGACTTTTAAAAAAGTAATCCACAAAGGACATTTCGAAAATCTAAAAGGCAACTAACAAATCGAAATGAAATAGAATCGATCCAAAAAGGATTTAATAAGCAGTAAAACACTGAATTCATTGTAAAAAATTATAAATATATAAATCTAAAATTTCAAATATAAACTTTTATAAACTTTTATGTATTTTTTCATTTATAATTCATTTAAAAAAAATTGTTTGATTTGCAAAAAATCTGATAAAATTAAAGCCAAAATAATTTTGTGAGAAATTTATATTTGATTTTATTTCACAGAACCAACGTTAGCTGATGGAATATTTTGAAAATTAAGTATAAGTCTCTTCTTGCCACGGAACCAAGCAGAACAAATAATCTTGCGAATTATTTAAAGAAAAGTATCTCTTTGGAAGATTTCAATCGATCGTAGTAATAATTAATTAATATTACTTTAACAAATAGATCAATCAAATTTTAGAAATATATTATTATCACTAGATTTGAGTCAAAATAACAGTAAAATATCAGAGAGTAAATAAGGCTTTATAAGGCTTTAAAGCTTCACTCAATAAAATGCTTCAGCGAAAAATTCAGAGAAAGGGAAGTAATTTGCAGTCTATAACCCATGTATATTCTGCTAATCGTACTATGCATAATTTAAAATGTGACTGAGAAAAAAATTTATTTGATGAAGAAAAACTTGAAAATTTAATGGAAAAACATTGGAAAAGAAATGTTAAATTCTCATTTCCTAAGTTCTAAGATTTTAATAAGAAGAAGAAAAATCGCAATTGTTCGGTGATATAAATATAAATAATAAATATTTAAAAATAATATTAGTAAATAGTTAAAAAAATTAGTAAAAATTGAAATATTTAATAAAAATGGGCTCAATTAAATAGCTAATATTAAAAAAAAGAATAAATTGCAGAAAAAAATGACTCAATATCATGAGGCATAATCGCGTGAAATGGCCTAAGGGATAGAATAGCTCAGTGGGTTGTTGCTCAATTCAGAGCGCAGAGGCTTCTATTCCCTTCATAAATAAGCCTATCCCAAGATCCTAGTGGTGTTGGCGACTCGCCTGTATTCCTGTCGCCAAGGGACTTGCTGGCATATGCCAAAAAAGTGAGTTTAGCCAGTAATAATGAGGACTTTTTAAAAAAAAATTCACATTCACATGAAATATTTTTATAATAAAATGTCATAAAATTATAGAATAAAAGAAAAATAAGTGGTCAGCAATCAGCATTTTTGTTTAGACTAACTTCATGGCTGCTGTAACGATTAAAAATTTTATAGAGTCGTCACTTGGCGATCGAAACGGTAGAATTGGGATGTTTGCCACATCTAAGTATTACTGAGTCTGAACTGATTTTCATTATCATGAATCGGCCCAAAAATATTCTCTTAGAACTTTCTCTCTTAAATAAAAAATAAATGCTTAGTTTACTTATTTTTAACTAATGGCTAGCAGCTGACCAACACAATTAGTTCGTTTTTCATCGAACACATTGAACAATTTTTTTCTTTTCAGTTCTCTCTTAACAATACAATTGAACTTTATTTGTTTAAAAATTTCATTTTATTTAAAAAAATTAATGAAGTGATTAAATTCATTTTCATAGTTTTATCGCTTTTACTAAATGTAGATAAATCTGTTTTTTTAATAAAACTGAAAACTAAAAAATTGGATTAAAAATGAAATTCATAGTTTTATAAAAAATTTCATCTGCAGTTTAAAAAATTCATTTAAAAAATAAATTTTGCAAATCCTAAGAAAATAGAGATAACATGATTTCATGATTTCATTTTTAAATGAACAACCTGGTTTCTATAAAATGCGGTCTAATTACATTTTCCATAGACAACCTGGCAATGCTATAATTTAAGTTTTAAGACGAAAATGTGTGAAGCGATTGCTATAAAATCGTTGTAAAAAATTGCAAATAGCTCAATTTTTAACTACGCACTTTGCGCCTTTTAACGATCGAGTAAATTGCTTCATACTTTTATAGGTTAATTATCGTTGTTTTTTTCTCGGCAAAAATTCGTTGTTGATAGCAATAAATTTATCAAAAACAATATTTCATTCAGCGTAATCTTGAAAATTTCAAAATTTCACAGAATTTCTATGATATTTCTTTTTGTTCAAAAGCTATAATAAAAAGATTTTTTGAAGAAATGTGGTGAAATCGAAATGAATAATGGAAGCAAAGAGAATTTATGCAGTCTAACAGAATAAACAGTGATGGATGGCCTTTTGTAGAACCGTCTAAATCTTCCGTTTTGGTCCACTAGAAAAGAAATTAAACCATTCCATAATTTTTGAAACAAAAAATACTTTAAAAAAAGATGTTTTCTATTCCAAGCGCCGCTTATCGTCTAATTATACGATGCGAAAGAATCGTCTTACCTCAGTCATTTCCATTAGTTTATTTTGGTTCAATTGAGGAGAAATAAAAGACTGGTTCCTGCTGAATTGAATCAATTGCACCCTAAGAAAGTTCTTCGAGTTGCCATGGTACTTTAACTATAAGCTATAATTCCTTTAGCAATTAGCCAAACCAGAAGTGTTACATTGTATAACAGGTAAAATAATTGAAGGACTCCAAAAATATTTTCTAAGACGCCTCTCTCCTAATAAAAATTATAATTTTAAGTCTATAATAAATATTTGAATATTTCGAAGTCTATAATAAATATTTGATTATCTTATTTCATATGGTTTATTTGATGTAAGAATTCGATAATACCGAAGTGCAATAGTGATAAAGTAGCAATAAAAAAATGATAAATAATTAATGAACGAAAGATGAAATAATTTCGAAAAAAGTCCTTTAACTAGAGAATCTAAAGTGAATTTTAAAAATGCCACTTCGAGAAAAGTATATGCACTAAGAATTAGCTTTAACCCCATTCATTTTAAAATTATGCGAGTTCTTCGCTAATAAGGAATCAAAAATAATGGGCCATCTGCCAAACTCCATTACCAAATATTAAAAAAATGAAAGTCGTCAAAATGGTCAAATGGTCGCTTTTATTCGCAAATCATTAATAAACTAAGGATTTTCATAAATCTTATTTGGTTAAAATATAAATGAATTTATTTAGAATTTTTTAGGAACTCATGATTTTAGCAAATTTAATTCCCTTATTTTTGTTTAATCTCTTTAATCTCTCTTCTTTTAATTCCATTTTTATTATTTTTTACAAAGCAAACTGAAATTTTAGATAGAAGCAATTCCCTCTAACAAACTATTTTCTTTTTTTTATTGTATTTTTTTATCAAAGTAAAGGTTCAGCCAATGCCATTCATTCTATCAACACAAAAAGTGCTTTATGATATTTCGAAAGATTTTAAAGGCGAACACCATTATTTTAATACTAATGCTAATTGCACTTATTCTTACATTTACTATAAAACCAATATTGCTTTACTTTTATTGTTATTAGTTGTGATGTGGTTTTAGTCTTTTGATTTCTAAATAAGTGAATAAAATCATTAACTTTTTACAGTTTAATTTCAGTTTTTTAATTTATCTTGCATTGTAAATGTTTAAAGAAAAATCTGAGCAATGTGCATCGCCTAGTTATTTGTAGCATCATGATTCTGGCAATGCATTCAGGAGCGGTTAAGCCACTAAAAAATTGCATTTCCCAAACCCCAACTGGCTCAGAAATTATCTATCTTCAATGATCGTATTAATAGCCATTGAAGTGAGCCTAAGGGGAATTGAACTGAGAAGAATACTTACTTCTACCTAATTTTATTCTTCATTAAATATACTTATAATTCGAGTAAAATTTTTGAAAGAAATATCGAATTTCAGTTTTTTAATTTTTAAATAATTTGGTAATGAAAATTTAACAATAACGATTTAACAATTTAAAAACTTCGGCATTCCGTTGTGTTTATTAAGAAAGAAATCCTTTTATAGCTCAACAATTTCACCTTCATTTTTTAAGAATTTATAATTCATTTTATGGATTCAAAAAGCAAAAATGGATTAAATTGTATTTCATAAAAAAACACGATGGAATGAAAAAAATCTCAAATCGTCAAGAGGTGAATGAATTTAAATTAATCGATTTCCGTTTTCGGAACGGAGATTTATTAATATAATTACGAAGCATAAAAAATTAAATAGCTAATTTTGCGTGAAATTATCTCCCAAATTTTCATTCGAAACATCAAAAAAGCATTAATAATAACAAAATAAAAAAAAATTTTTTTGGTTAATTGTCGTAAATTTTTTTCTGGATTTTTGGTGATTATTTCTTAGATTTTTTAACTTCAACATTATTTGTTTGATAAGATTCAATCAAAAATTTTATAAAAATTACTTTTATGAAATAATAAATGAAAGCAAAAAACAATACGATTATGCAATTATGGAAAAAATTATAGCAAATTTTTTTCATTAGAAAAACTATGCAGAAATTGCGAAATTGATCTTTAAATTTATGAATAGTTTAATAAACAAAAGAATAAACGCATTTACACATTTTTATTGTCATAAAGTTGTGACTCGTCAGATGGTGGATTTGGAATAATCTCTTGGATATGTGGGATCCCTGGTGTTTGAATGTATGTCGGCGTTTGAATATACGCTGGTGTCTGTACGTAAATTGTTGGCTTGTGAACAGCAATAGATCTCGGTGGGCAAGAACAATAACTTGCATCTTCACCAGCCATTCCAGGTCTACCTGGTATTCCTGGAGTGCCAGGTTGGCCGGGCAAACCTAATTCACCAACAAAGCCTTGAGGACCAGGTTCGCCTGAAAACTTTTCTATTTACATATTCGAAGGATTTACTTGCAAAAAAACTCATAACGTCATACGCCTAAAATATTTTAAATGATGCTTTCTGTGATGGTATACGTTATATTAAGCATTCTGGAATCAATTACCATCTCTTCCTCGTTGCCCACTTTGTCCTGGATACCCTTCTGGTCCTTTTGGCCCAGCTGGTCCAGCTCCACCTTTCTTTCCTGGCAAGCCTTTCAAACCACGAGTTCCATTAATGCCTGGGGACCCTGCATCACCATCAGTGCCTGGTTTACCTGATAAACCAGGCGCTCCAACATTGCCTAAATGCTCCATAATGAATGTGGTATTTTTATGCAAATTTATTAAAATTTATTGAACTGAAATAAGCAAATTTCACCTTCTCATATCAAATTTAATGAATGTTTAGGAGCAGATGGTAAGAATAATGGTTAAATGACTGAAAAAATTTCGTATTCTCTTGAAATAAAATAAAATTTACCTGGATATCCAGGCCTTCCTTGCTCACCATTTCTTCCTTTCGGTCCAGAGCATCCAGGTTCGCCAGTAGCGCCAGGTAATCCAGGAGGTCCGGTTGGTCCCGGCGGTCCATTAGGACAAACTCTGCATCCTCCCGCCTGCAAATCAGATAATAACAAAATTTTGATCTTAGTCTTGAATAAAATCATTGCAACTTATATAGAGATAGAAACATTGTTAGCTTTACCGCATAATCAACAGTAACTGGAGAGGCATTTCCCGGCAGTCCAGGTGCACCTGGGGCACCTGGAAATCCAGGTTCTCCATCCATTCCCTTAAATCATAATTAATTGTTATAGCTCCTTATTGAAAAATAAATTTAAAATGATACAATTATTTCTAATTTGTTACAATTGCTCTATGCTTTTGTTCATATTTAAAAGTATTAATGTGAATTATTTACATTTTAAAAAAATTATTTCACTTCTTCAAAAATGAATAGTGAATAATGAATAAAGATAAATAGTGAAAATTTGAAACTGAGAAAAATGGAAATGTATTTATTAAATTCATATTATATGATCATTATGTCATCAAAAGATACCGGTAAGCCTGGTTGACCTGGTGGTCCAGGTGGGCAAGTGTTATGAATGTCACATTCTGAAATGTTCCAGTTTTTTCAAGGAAATTCGCATCTTTAGAATGGAAGTCGATTATATTAGGCGTAATATTTGTATTCACTTATGTATTAAAAAGGGTTTGCAAAACGGTTTGTCAAAAACTTCTTATAATAGCAAATAGCAACAAATTTTTTTCTTATCTATTTCCACATTATTCTTCTTCAATTCTGATTTAAAATTAGCAAAAAATAAAATAAAACGAATAATAATCAGTTAATACCACATTGTGCTTGGTGTCTTGCATAACTTTTCAAATACTCGTTTGTCGTTCGAAGATTGTCATGCTAAAATTATTCGTTAATAAGCAAAAAATATTCTAGCAGTATGATCGAAGACATTGCTTAAATTGTCATTTCATACATAATCGTTCTGCAATTACTCGCAAAAAGAATACCTATCATTAGAGAATCCGAACGTTGGGACCCAACTGCACCTCTATCCCAAAATAACTCTCTTGCAGTGAAATTCTCTTCTTAATGATCAATAGAGCGGGCCTAACTAGGAGAAGTGATGAGTACCAAATATTGTTGGAGAATTTTCTAGATTTATTTGAATAGCATTCAGTGCCCTCGTAAAATAAGTCGAAATTCCGCAAAAGATAAAATGAAATATATAAGTTGCCTACCTTTAAGACAAAAAAAATTCCATTCTCTATCTTTAATGTCAAAAAGAATTGCGGATAATTTTGTTAGATACTATTTAAATACAAGCATTTTTAATAATCGCATCAATTTTCATTTCTCACAAGTGGCTATAAAAATTTTTATTTACCTGCCGTTTTGCTCGCCTAAGACCTTTTACTCGAGCAAGATGGTCCCAAGCTTCATCTGCCATAAGCCGAAATTCGTCCGAATCTATTTTCAGCTGGAATGGAACAATATAATGGAAATAGCACCATATATTTTTCGATTACTGAAGGTTTCGTTTTATTTGAACTTCAATAAAATTTCTTTCTTCCTCATTAAAATTTTGTTTTGGTTCTGTTTTATTTCACTTTCAAAAATATTGAAATCCATCAAAAACTGTGCTAAATATTGCACAGTAAAATAAAAGTGTTGAGAAAAAATTTATATTTTGATGAAATTAGCAAAATTTTATTAAAATCTGTGGAATTGAAATTTGAGAAATATAAAGCAATTACTCGTTCCTCGATATGTTGAACCATATGAATAATAGAAGGTACAAAATATAGGGCAGCAATAATAGTTGCAAATGAAGTTAGTATAGCGACTAAGCCAACCTTTCTTACTTCAATTACCATCATAGCTGATCGGTCGTCGAAAATTTTTGAACTCACAAGTGCTTTTATATTGTTCACTCAAAATCTTCTTGGTGTTATTTTATCGAATAATACGCCTACTCACCTTCTTTTTAATTCCGAAATTTTATAAAGAAAATAAAAAAAAGCTCCGCATGGATTTAGAAAACAGGTATTTCATAAAACGGATTTCATCTGAGTGTGCAAGGATTCTCAAAATTCATTTTATTTCAAAATAATGCATTAAAGTACTTCCATAATTTTTTAAATATCATATAATTCTGAATTTCTGCTTTTAACGACAAATATTTGAAATAAAAAACTTTAAAAAAAATCAAAAGATTGAAGTAATGCAAGAAAGCATCTGAAAATTGAAAGGACAAGAATGCTATTTCAAATAATATGTTATTTCTTGTAAAGGAGATATGTGAGAGAATGGTACTAGTTTAATTTCATTTTTAATAACAGGCTTAAGATATCGCAAAGGACGGTGATTAAGCAACATAACACTCAATCACTGTATCATGATTAATATGCATTGCAAATATGTAAATAATTAAAAATACCATCGAGACACCGTCGAGAATTTTTAAGCAAGTGGTGGACAAAAGATATGCTGGATAATTCAATTTGAACCTCGTTAATTCATGGTTAAAAGTTTTTATTCTGGTTTAAGCAATACCCTTAAAGTATTCATTGCATTTCTGCGCCGATTTTCATTTAAAAATCCATTATTATTCGACCCATACTGACACAAATACTATTTTATCCATTATCATCTTACCTGAACCTATTTATTAATATTAAAGTCAAAGTCAATTATAATCAAGCGGTCCATTGAAATAAAATTTTGCGAATTCAGCAGAATTAATGGAGAAGATCCGCATGGCCAAATTTTATAGCCATATTATTGCATTCATATTGATATTATTGCTGAGTAATGCACTATTGTTAATTTCAAGATGCAAACTCGTTCTCAATTGACCAAGTGAATATTTATACTGCAATAATCGGATTGTCGGATTGCGTTTGCCTAAGGCAGCTTTAAACATTTTATAACTCATCAAATATTGCCTCATTAGAAATATCTTTAAGAAGTTTCGATCCCATTAAAATATTTATATATTTTCAACCTGAAAAATCTTTTTTATTTTCACTCATTGAAATCGGCGAATCTCTTAAGATAATTCAACGAATAATGGAATTATTCAATAAAAAATGGCACTTGACTTAATAATAATTTGCTTGCTTCATAATAAAATCATTCGTTAATCAACTTATTATTGTGCATAAAAGAAAATAGTTATTAAATATTATAAAATTATTAAATATTAAATATTATTAAATATTTCAGTTATGATAGAAAATCTATAGCTTATTTGCTATTAATTTTTGTTGTAATTTTTGCCAGATTACATAAACATAATGGCAGAATATCTAAATGGTTGTGGCACAGATTCTGATATTCGAAATAATCTGGGCAACAACTATTCAGATATTCTCTGATAGAAGATAATTGCTTCTCTGATAGTAGATGCTATTAAAAATGCTGATCCATCTTCATTTCTATCACTAGGTGAAAAAGCTCTCATTATAATGATAACCAGCGGAGCGAGCTTTATCGGAAATGATAAAGGCTATCTGTATATATAATGATCAACAAAGATGCATTGTTATTACGGCATGGTCACTCACAAATCGTTGTATATATATATACAATATATATTATAAATCAATTTTTCCGATGTTCATTATTAAAATAAATTGATATTTGATATTTTGATATTTTTGATATTTTTTTATATGTATTTTTTATGCTTTGATATTTTTTTTAAGAAATATAATTTCTTCTATTCAGCCAAAATTCAGCAAAAATCCTGGTGAACAATTTCGGTTGTTTTTTTGCCTTATAAATATCAAATATTTTCCTTTTTTCTTTACAAATATTTTCACAAATTTTTTTACTTAATTTCCAAGAAAAGAAGAAACAAAAATATGGAATTTTCTTGTATACTTAAAGGTTTTACTTTCCAATGAAAAGAAATTTCTAGGGCAGAAATCTAGAAGCTAGAAATCAGAATTATTTGAGATAATATAGTTAATTAAGACGAGAAACTTAAAACTTGTTGCCATAACAAGTTTCTCATGCAATATACTTAACTAGTTTGCACCAACAGACTATTTTTGTTGGAGAATGTCATCAAAATAGTTTTTATGTTGGCATAATGATGGAAAACAGATAGAAGATAAATATATCTATTTCTAATATATAAATATATCTTCTTTTTCTACTAGCTCTCACCATTACTGGTTAGGCTGGCTCCATTGACTATAAGGGTAAGAGGCTTAGAAGAAGCGCGGTCCGATGCCATCGTCGACAGTAATAAAGCCATTCCTCTTTCCATCGTCAAAGTCCATACACTGCTGGCCCACCTATAGGTTCAATATCTTTTCTAACCGTATCAGTCCAGGTCTTGATTGGTCCACCTTGTTTTTGACACCATCCATCAGTGTTTCGCAAGTAACGAAATATGCGTCAACTCCTGTGGTGAACGACAGAGAACATGCCTTAACCAACGAAGGCGACGTGGCAATGTTATGGCAACATTATTAATGCAAGTGATATCTGAACGAAGGTGGCTGCGATCATGTGAGATTTATCCACTCGACGAACCCGTAAAATGTACTTTAAACAAGAGTGGTCAAAGGCAGATAATTTCTTAAAACCCTCCACTCTCACTGGCCATGTCATATAATAAGATCGAACGGATGGCAGCAATATAGATGCGGACTTTCGTTTTTATAGTGATTTCACGACGATTCAATAAAGGTTTCGTCAATCAGGAGAACATGTTTCTATTTGCCGTGATCCGATCAGTTGGTATTGAATTTGTGAAAAGAGGCATTTTATCAGTTTCTTGTGCATAGGACGAGAAGACTTTCGTTTTATATCTATTGACCCTGTGTCCTATTCTTACTGGAGTTTCTGGCAGGTTATTTAGAATTATTTGCATTTCGTTATAACTGTCAACAAAAGGACTACATTATCAGCGTATTCAAGATCTGTGATACAATGCTGTGGACTGATTTTTTAATTTGAGATAGTTGAAGGGTCTTGGGAGATGCTATTTTTGATTTTATGCGGATCTTGGCTCGAACCATAGCATGGTCAGATCCATGAAGATTGCCCGTTCCAGCGCCGCGATAGGTACGGCTATTTAGTACGGAACTCTTCCAATGGCGTTGACTATGATGTAATTATAATTATAATTATAATTATAATTAAGATATAATTAATCTGGTTGAAGTGTTGGTTATTCGAGGAGTTTCACGTGATTAGATGTTTTCTACCGGAAGCAAGTATTAGTAACAAAAAGTTCATGTTCTCCATTGGCACACCGGTCTTCGATGCCATATTTGCCAACTGTCGAGGTCATTGCAGCAGCATTATATATCGTGAAAAGTTTTGTTAATTCAGAAAGGTAAAAAAATAATCAAAATTTTTAAAAGAAATGGCTTGCGTGCTCGTTGATGGTTTCACGACTTAGAGTTAGAATATGCAATATATATAGATTTATTTTTATATGTGTAGATTTTATTACTGCCCAAATGCCAATATAACAGAACGATTTGCAAAATAATATCAATTATATTGAAATGAAAGGTAGGATTACGATTGAATAGGAAGAACTTATTGTAGAAACTGGCCGATTCCTTAACTGACTGACTAACAGACTGACCGATAAATTCACCGACTCAATCACAAACTGACCAAATGAACTCTGATCATTGGCCACATTCCTTTTTCTTTTTTATAAGGAATGTTTGTTAAGGAAAGAAAGAGATTTTAATTCATAATAAGACGTGTAATTTCTTTACAAACTGATAGTATTTACAAAGGAAAGAAACATTCAAAAATACGATATAAACTTATTCATGATTTTATGCATGGGAAAAAGCTTTCGGTTTTTTCGACATTATGAACTAAGTGCGAATTCCAATCTCCACCGATTTATGACCATGTCATGTTTCGGTAGAGACTTTGTTAGCAGTTGAAGTTCCGCATCGAACTTATCTTTAGCACGGTCATCTGCCAACAGAGTTGGAGCATAGACACTGATGACCGAGATATTGTAAAACCTACGTTTAACGCGGTCATAGGCCATATGATCACTTACTGGTTCCCACTCAATCAAAGCGGAATAAGCCTTTTCAATCATGACAACCGCTTTGCTATTTCGTCCCGAGTTATCCCAAACATCACAGTAACATAAATACCTCCAGTATCTCTGCTCCGAGCCAGGATTTATAATTACTCGAGACCGGAAATGACGAAGACGAACCTCCGACAAGGTGATATCCACACAATATTTAAAAAAGGTGTGGACAGTGATCGCATGGCTTGCAACGTCCATAAGCGTTCTGACGTTCCACGCTGATACGGCTAAAACCTCGCCAACGTGTAGAGAACTGTTCCCTTTAGGTTTCGAGCAATTACCCTGGCCTGCGAGCACATTTTATTTGTCAGCCTTGGGATCGCTTTACGCCCAGATTGTATATTTATCACATGTGCCACCGAGCTGGGAGTATCATGCGCATCGGAAGACGTGGATGCCATATCAAGAAAATTTGATCCCTTCACCATTAGAGTCACTAAAATCTAAAAATTCGAAGTTTGACTTGCCATTTTCGAAATTACATTGAATCTGAGGGAATTTTTTAGTGCTATTCAAAATTTAATAACCAAGAAGGCTTACGTGAAAATATAATAAATCTTTTTGCTTATAAATGGAAATATGATTTGATTTCCTTTTCATAATTTCATAATTTAAATTTTTTATCAGCGCTTCTTTTCTTTCAATTTTATTAATTATTTGCAAAACTTTTTGGTTGAAAAGCTTTTTCTAAAGCTTTTTAAATAAACATCGCATGGATTTTGCTTACTTTTGATTTTAGGCGACAATAGGAAACTATTCTGCCTTCTTCATAAAGCAACTATAACACGGGGAACGATCAGTGAAATGGTAAGAGAATGGTAGCAATGGCATATTAATTAAAAGTATTAGGATCGCCTCATAAGATGGAAAGAATTCTTTGAGGCCAAACTCAACCATGAAGAGCCATCTGTTGCTCCTACTATAGCTGATACGTTTGCCGAAGCATACGTTTGCAATTGCGAGCCTCCAACAGAAGAAAAAATAATTTCAGTTATCCATAAGCTTAAGGCCAACAAAACTCCAGGAGAAAATGGTCTTCGGGCTGAGCTTTTCAAATGCTGTCCTTCATAAGGCACCTTTAACAAATGTACTCTTTAGTATGGAAAAAAGAAATATTACCAGATGATTGAAGCAAAGCAATTCTGCTCCCAAGTCTCAAGAAAAATGATAGGACATATTGCGACAATTATCGAGGAATCAGCCTATTAGACGTCTCAGCAAAAATTTTTGCTTCCCTGCTACTCAACAGACTTATGGAAGTACGAGGATGCGCCCTAATCAAGCTGGTTTCAGACCAGGGCGCTGTTGTTCTGACCAGATATTCACGTTAAGAAGGATGTTGGAAAATCGCTTCAAATATTTGCAACCCACTGTCTTCGACTTTGCGGCTGCCTTTGATTCAATTGATAGAGCAGCGCTTTGGAGGGTGATGGAACATGTTCCAGAGAAAATCATTAGACTTGAGGAAGTGCCTGATTTCAAATACCTTGGGTCCACTCTAATACCAAATGAACAGGCAAAAGATGATATTATAACTCGGATCACCGCAGCTAGAAATGCGTTCTTCCGGTTGACGAAACCTTTATGGAATCGTCGTGAAATCACTATAAAAACGAAAATCCGCATCTATATTGCTGCGATCCGTTCGATCTTATTACATGGTTCTGAGACATGGCCAATGAGAATGCAGGATATTAAAAAGTTATCTGCCTTTGACCACTCTTGTCTCAGATATATTTTACGGGTTCGCCTAATGGATAAAATCTCACAAGATCGTATCCACTTTCGTTCAAATACCACTTGCATAAATAATGTTAATGTTACTCACAGAGCGCCGCCTTCGCTGGTTAGGGCACATTCTCCGTCATCCATCACAGGAGTTGACGTATATTTCGTTATTTGCTAAACGGTGTGACGGTTGGCGTCAAAAGCGAGGTGGGCCAACCTGGACTGATACGGTAAGAAAAGATTTTGAACGTATAGGTGAACCAGCAATATATGGATTTAGACGATGGAAAAAGGAATGGCTTCCATTACTGTCGACGATGGCATCAGACCGCGCCGCTTGGAAGCGTCTTACCCTTGTAGCCATTGGAGCCAGCCTAACCAGTTATGGTGAGAGCTGTTAGAAGAAGAAGAAGGATTTTGCTTATTATCATTATTATTTTTATCATTTTACGAATTAAATTAAAAATTAAATTAAACAAATTCAACAAATTAACTTAATAAATTTTTTGAATTTAAATAAAGGTTAAGAGAAATGTGAGAAGACGTTGCTTCAACTGAAATCATAGTTACGATCTTTATCTTTCTTAATACTTAATATTAAAACTTAAAAGAATTAAGGAATACCGAGAAGCCAAAATTGCCAAACATATTCAATTGGAACAACAAAAATTGATTTAAATATTAGTTTAATGTTTAAGCGAATAATTTTTAGAATAGATCAATAATAAATAAAATAAATATTTAATTAGTAAGTACTACTCGCCTATCGTTTGTGGTTAGATTAGTTTTACTTTTTTTTTTTAAAAGTCCTCATCATTACTGGTTAAACTCGCTTCGCTGACTTGTCGTATTGGGCAAACATGCCAGAGGGACCCTTGGCGGTAGAAATACGGGTGAGTCGCCAGCATCACCTTGATTTTTGGGCAAGTTTGCTCTTATGGGAAATAGAACCTCAGCAACGGCGCCCCCAATTGAGCAACAACTCACTGAGCCATTCGACCCAGACTAGTTCCACCAACTCCGTTTAGAAGTTTTTTGCTCTTTTCACTTAGAATCAATCATTTGGCAATAGAATTGCTATCGCCATGAGGTTTATATCCTTCGAAAACGGCAGGCTGAATCACTATCTGCTCGTTTATTTTGCCTTCTAACATATAGAAAAGCAAGAAAACTATAAAAATAAATTGATTTAAAATTAATAAAAAACGATGGTAATTTAAAAAATATTTTACCGAATTTCTTACTCGATTCGATAAATTTTTAGCCAATCGGAAGTTATTTCCGCAAATTTTCAGGTTTGGTGAAACTGTCCCAAATGCCACTTTCCTAAATCTTTTAGCCACAAAACATAAATACTCCCTAGAATAATGAAATTTCTTCAGATCTCTTCAAAAGGCGTACTATTAAACTTCTCTAACATCCTCGCGTCGCAATTATTCACATTATTCTTAACAATTGTTTTAAAAAATTGTAAACAAGAGGCATCAAAATACCGTAATTCCTGGACGATTTTGGTCGTTAAATTCGTATGCTATTGTCAATAAATATATCAATAATTTAAAAATACATTTTCTTGATTAAATATTTTCTCGTCATTTCAATCATTAACAATTGGCAATTATCCATTAAATAGCTAATAGCTACGGAGTGAATAGTTGTGTTGGCGCAGAAGAGTTTGGCTTCTCAACGGAATACCCGGGTACTGCTGACGATTTACCCGTATTTCTACGGCCAAGGAGCCGACTCCCCAGCTAAAGTTTCTAGCTGCAGTTTTCTAGCAATAAAGCAGAGCGACAAGCGCCATTTGCTTACATTAATAATAACCAAATAAGGTGTCAAATGAAAAGAAATTAGTGGGAATTATACAGGTCGAATTGCATTTAGTAAAATGCTGTAACATAATCAAATGCTGAAAGACTGTATAAGATGAAGCTTTTATCATGGATGAGACCATTTCTCTTTTCAAAATACCTAAGGATGATAAGGATGAACAGAAATAACGACACACGGCAGCTTATTCCAGTAATTAATGGTGCGAATAAAAAACCATGCGCGCTTAGTTTAGTTTTGCATTTATTTTTAGCCCATTAGTTCTTGTTAGGTGGAAATTTAAGGTTAAATTATAACTTTTTGAACAATCTGATTTGCCATAAGCATAGATAATTTTATGTATAAATGTATGAATTAAATCTTGCTTCATTCGGTAAATTGGGTTGAGAGTTGTATAGTTGAAGTTTATAATTGTGATTGTGAATTTTAAGTGAAAAGCCATGTACAAAAAATTTTTGGGGACCTTCAATTAATGTACTTGATTTGTGTCTACAGGAATAACAAATTGCACTGTATTCAAGAATAAGTCGAACGAATGCTTGATATATTTTGATGAAAAATCTCTGATTTTAAACGATTGAAAAATAAAATTTAGTATTCTCGAGGACTTCTGCTTTCTTATAGTTCTGTGGTGAGGGTTGAAATTGAGATTTCACGACTATGCCGAAATCTAAGATAATATTCGTATTAACAATTAACTACTATTTATACAATTATAGGTGCATTTATTGTATTATGAAGTTATCAAATCATCTTGAGGTCTGCATTACTTGTGATACTTTATAAGATGCGTCGTTCGCAATGAAGAAAGTATTAAGAAGAAAGTATTATGGCTACTGCAAATATCCGAATTCAGAAGGATCTTAGATTATTTAAAACCCATTCGACAATGGAGTTGTCTTTTGTTATGCGTCTACAAATACCCTTTAATTTCCAAAGTAGTTCAAAATTGTCCGCTATGATATGATTCTCGTTTTGGGTGCGAGAGGTCTCGGTTTCGATAAAAATTCTAATTTAAACTTAAAGAAATCTAATAAAATTCAAACCCTCGTAAAACATCAAAAAACCAATGTTTAATTTGTGATCTTATTTTTCTTGCTTTCTTCTCTTCTATAATGAAAAATACTTTCTGCTAATTCTGAACAATCATAAATTATTCGCTGGGTAATAAAAAAGGGGAATTATATATAAATTATATGGACAGAAATATATCCATATATCATGATGTAGAAATAAATGAAAATTCTCTTTCAGACCAGTCTGCTCAAGCGAACATACCTGTCTCTTGCAATCTCGCAATTTGAAGAAGAGAAATATAAACGATGGTCGGGGCGACCAGTACAACGTTCTCTTAATAGAACTCCACCACTGAAACACTGATTAAGTTGCGGCAAAAGTGCGAGAATGCCAGAAGAAAAGATAAGGGCAAAAAAAGCCATATCAAAAAGGCTACGAAAAAATTTCGGATCATAAGACTAACCCATATAGGCAATATATGATACCCAACAGGAGCCATGTTTTTTTGGAAAAACGAACCACTCGGCTTCGCTCACATTCGTTGTTTTAAATAATCACTCTCCTTTGCCAATATATGCTTTTTTTTGAAAATTATCAAATAAAACTCTCTCCTTAACTACATTCGCTGTTTATTTCGAATAATCGGATCGAATCTGTTAAATAATTAATAATTAATTCATTTATTTTCGTAAATTGTAAATAAATATTTTTATTTACTGTCGTAAATGCACTTTTTTCCGACATTGACCAATAACTACCTCTGCATAATGTGAAATCAGGCATCATAGCCATCAAGCTTTATAATCAATCAGTACATGAAAAACCAGTATATCAGTTAAAAAGATTGGGAATAGCACCAGAGACTTCAAACGCCGATTCCACAGATAAGGCAATCGTTCAAAATTCCGACAGACCAATTTGCATATCTTGGAAAAGAAATCTTAAACGAAACCTGAAACAGTCAGGAATACATCAGCAAGATAGCACCCAAAAGATGAAGTGCTCAACTCCTGATCCTCTACAAGAGACCTGGGATATTGAGAATTTTCTGACCAGGATGTGTTATCGCTGTATCTTATCTGTTCCTAATAGTGCACTCTTCTGGTATAGATCTCTGGTGTCCTTGGAATTTGTTGAGGTTACTTTTCTTATTTAGGAGTCATAGTTCCAAATGCTTCAATTATTACTTCAGCCTTCACTGTTTACATCCTCTTCTAGTTCCTTTTTTTTCCTAGTTCAGTCCTAGTATTTAACTTCTCACATTCCTTCGTCCCAACGTTTCTGCCACCTGTTATTGCTATATCAGTGTCAATTTCTAATTCTTGCTTATTAGCACGATATCTGGTTGATTGGTTAATACTTTGTCTATATGGATGGAGGACCAAGCATTTTCGCCTTATTGTTCTCTATGATTTTCTGAAGAATTTCCCATCTAGTCTTGTCCTAAGCCATATATTAATCTTGTAGATGATGTCTTTTATTTGATTATGCCTTTCAGCTGTATGCTATTCTATTCCTATTTGCATCGTATTGTTATTATGTGTTGGACTATTTGTGTTGGATAGGACGTTGCGAATCTTGAGTCCTGTCTGACGAAGCGAATTCCTGTTTCGAAGAATCTGGTGGTTATTACCTGCTCCTCTGCTGCTATGATAAATGCATATTGCCTTTTAGTCGAATTTTATCCAACCACTAGCAAGATTTCTCAATGTCAGCTATTTATGTCGATTAAATTTTATGCCGATTGTACATCCCATAAATGGTCTAGCTTTCCATGGCATTTCCTCCGCTTGGTCTCTCTCCACTGTCTGCTGATATTTTCTCTTAGCATTTCATCTTTTGGGTGCTATCTTGCTGATGTATTCCTGACTGTTTCAGGTTTCGTTTAAGATTTCTTTTATGCTGGTGTAAAGGAAATTTTCATGTAAGGAATACATCAGCAAGATAGCACCTAAGCATCAGCAGCCTGTATATTTTTCTTTCACTATCTCGCTGTAAATCTAATGACTGGCAGAATACATTGATTTATGGTGTGGATTTCGTTTTTCCCACTGAGTTGATATTTCAAGGTGTCTTATTTTTTGCTCTTACTATTGTCCATCTGATGTCAGGAAAATCTCAGATGCTACGTCCTCTTTTGAATCCAGTTTGCATCTCTGCTAGTCTTTTCAAGTGCTGTTCATTTCTTTTTAAAATCTCTTTATGTGCATTATTTTTCTCGCATTTGGTACTAGCGCGATTTCGCGAAAGTTTTTGCAGTTCCTGCTGTTTTTTTATTAGAACAGTATTATTACCAGTCTTGCCAGTCTTTAGATTATTTCATAGTTATCCATGTGCGTTGGCATAGCTTTGTCAATGTTTTGGGTATATTTTCCCTATTTAGTTTTTAACCGAGGCGATACCACCATCGCCTTTGCATTGCCACTAGTAACTTGTATTGCTTGTATTCTCACTTCTGCAGTTGTATTTCGCTCTTCTATTTAGCTTCTAATTGATGTATCTTAACATTGCTGTGACACGGATTTCGTTGCTTTTCGGATTATTCTTATCTAAA